ATATATATAAAGTTAGAGGATGCTTTAAGCAGCAGGTAAAGGGTTAAAGGTTAAATTCTCAGTGCAGAGGAGCCGGTAGCCATCCACTGTGTAGCTTTTTAAATTTTTTTATTAATCATCAATAAATTGATACTTCAGGGTGTGCTTTATTGCAGATTGAAACCACAACATATATGTTCTCCATTGCTGGGCACTCTGTCATCATTTGACAGCAAGTCTTTACAGCTCAAGGACACGTGGAGCTGTTATCTTGCCTTTCCCCCTTAATGACAGAGGTCTAGATGTTCCTCTCCCCTGTTTATTTCTCTTCTTGGCTGAGTGCTTCTACGGGTCATCCGTGTATATGTATGTGTGTTACCAGGTGGTGAAAGTTTACCAAGCCGGCATCCAGCAGACCTTGGACATAGTCTTTCTGAGGGGCGGTGTGACTTTTATAACAAGCTCTGACTGCGTGAGCAGAGACTCTGCAGACCGCACCCTCATTGCCTGGGACTATGAGACCACAGCCAAAGTCTCCAACCAAATCTACCATGTAAGATATCTAAAGAAAAAAAAGTAGGTCTAATTACATGAGGTTTGGCTGGTATATGAAATTAAATTTATAATCTTAAGAGACTCATTTTTATTTTAACAGTTAAATTAAGTTAAAAAAATTGTTTAATAATTGTTTAATAACCTTTGTGCTTTTTTATACAGGATAACAGGATAATTCTGAACAGTTTTGAGTGTATATTCTCTTTACTCATCGGAATAGATTGAAAATGATGGTCAAAATAAAAAATATTACTACATATACACAGTGGATTGATCATAAACGTTTATACCATTGTACAAGCTTTTTTATTTTATTTTTTATCATTAATACACTAGTTAACATGGAGCTGACTTCACCATAAGTAGTAACAAGAAAAGGTCAAATAGTGAATTAATTTCCCTTCTCATTCTTCTTCTCATTTGGCCACCAGGAGCGTTACACGTGCCCGAGCCTGGCTCTCCACCCGCTGGAAGACTCCTTTGTTGCCCAGACCAATGGGAACTACATAGCAGTGTTCTCCTCCCAGCAGCCGTATAGAATGAACAAAAGGCGGCGGTTCGAAGGACACAAGGTCAGTATTGACTGGGGGTTACGCAGGCGTAATCCATACTGAATAGCACTGCAGTCAGATGTACACAGACACACACACATACACAGAAATACAACTTCAGCAACATCCCACCCCACACAGCTTTAATTGCAACCTACATGCTTCATTGTCTTTACCAAGATTCATAGCAGTGGTTTCTCCCAAAAAACCCCCCCCCCACCAAATACAATACAACAGTTCCACTGAGGGAGGCAACAGGAGCAGCATATGGCAGCACATTTGAAATATCACTGAAAAATGCAGCACTGCTAGTGTGGCATTTGGACTGTTGTTTACAATAATTGACAGGAAACAAATGGATATCACACATTCCAGGTCCATTTTTGCTTTTCTCTTTCTGGTACAGCGCTAAAAATCAACAAAAAAGAAACAACGTGGCAGAAAAGACCAATAAGACAGATGTTTCTTATAATTACCTTATAATAACCTTTGCGTTATTGTGATTATATTACTGAAAGCATTGGTAATTAGCCAGTTGCTAATTAGTTGCTATGATGACTAAAACACAGACATATCTATAATTTTTCTGCTCCTCCTACCATATTGGTAGGACACAATGATCACTTAATGGGTCTTCACCCAAATGGTGCACAAGGTTAAGCTCACGTTTGTTGTTTTACAGCCAATAGCCTGTGAATTGTGATGGATTGTGAGCAAGTTGTGCTACTACATCATTGATGACAAGGTTTTAATGCAGTCTTAACAGAAGCATTACATACTCTAACAGGAAGTTTAATACAATGAGCATGAACTGTAGTAACCCATTATTTTCCACAGGTGCAGTCTATAATTTGAAACCACTTGTTATGTAAAAATATGCACACTTGAGTCTGGGCTTTGTGCCATAAGAAATAACCAGTTGTATTACAGTAAAGTTTAGATGAAGAAGTAAAGAGCTTTTATTCAGCTTAAAACACAAAGTCCAAAATTGACCAAAAAAAATACACAAAGCAGGGGTCTAGGAATCATCCAATGCAGAAAACAACAGCAGGATCTCACAAAAACACGGGGCAGAGACAGGACTATTTATAGAACAAGGACTATTTGGGGATTGGAAACAGGAGGGAAATGAGAGACAGGTGAAAGTAATCAAGCCAATCGGACAGAGTGGAAGTGAAGTCCAAAAAGTGACACGAAAGAAACGGAGCTATCGCAGCAAATCAACAGCCCTAAAATGCCTGCTGAACATGAATACAGGATTCAAACTAAACAAGGGAACACTGTAGGACATAAGCATAAAGAAAGAAAGATAGGACAAAGGAAGGAAGGACAATAAACTAGAAGTAGGGACTCAAGCTAAATAAAGTATAATGACTGAAAACTAAGGCAACTTAGCAGGGATCGGTAATGCATAAAAGCGGAATATGGTGCTTCCAGAAAGTTTTAAAGTATTTACAGTGCTTTAGTTCTTCAACATTTAGCCTATTTCCAGATTGGATTAAATTCATATTCACCTCAAAATTCTACAATTACCCCATAATGTCAAAGTGAAAAATAATTGCTTGAAATTATTGCATATTTAAAAAAAATAAAAATATAACATGTACATGAAAACAAAAATTGAGCTCAGGTGGGTTCCGTGTCCACTGATTATCTGTCAGATTTTTCTACAACTTCACTGGAGTCCACCTATGGTAAAGTCAATTGATTGTTACTGTGGGGTATTATTGTTCGTCGCATTTCAACAAGGGTTTAACATGAAAAACTGTGGAACACGTCTAGCGCTGCGGATGCTTTCTGTTTATTCCACGGCACCTGACGAGATTTATATTTCTGGGGGTTCTTTATGCAAAGTGACGACCTAAAGTGGGTTGGTGTGGATACAGAGTCGCACTTCATTCAAAATTTAAACAAGAAAATCACTAAGTAAGAAGATGAGCCCAACTTAAACGTTGAAAGGTTAGAGTGTTATTCTGCTTCCTTCTGTAATCCTTTGTCAGTCAAGACTACACTTAAACTGTCTACACAAATCAAGAGTTGCCTCTGCAGTGTTTGTAGGTATAAATCAACAGTATGCAGACACCATCAGGGGGCCTGCACTCTGTCTGTAGATTTGTCCTCCTCTGGGACTTTCCCCAGTTATTTGTGACATTAAATGTATGCAGGTAAAGGAGGATGAGAGCTGTTCTTTGATTTCCCTGTAACAATTGCTTTTTGTTCTGAAGGTTGAGCCAACACGATTCTGATTAGTTCTCTAAAATCTCCTCTGAGCCGCTATAAATGGATTGTAACATGTTTTTTGTTCTAGGTGGAGGGATATGCAATAAAGTGTGGCTTTTCTCTGGATGGAACTATCCTGGCCTCAGGGAGCTCCACTGGCTCCGCTCACTTCTATGATTATCACACAGCTCATATGCTTCACACCCTCCGTGCCCATAGCCAGCCCTGCCTTTGTGTGTCTCAGCATCCCGTCTTACCTACGACTGTGGCTACTTGTGACTGGGGCGGTGAGATCAAGGTCTGGCACTGACAACCAACTATGAACAAAGAGATTATAAACTTAAAACGTAGCAGGTTGGCCATGAGATGGAAGACTGTATTAAACAGAAACGTCATGTGCACATTTATCTTCAAGACTATAGCTTTCATAATCTCTTGGCAAAAGATAAGAAGAACTTGGCAAAAAATGCTGAAAGTCAGCAAATCTACTATCTACTGATTCCTTTGGAAAACATTTTTTTACACTGACTATCTTGCAAAGCTTTCACATCATAATAAAAAAACTAACTCGATTTCAGTCGCTATGGTGTCATCTCACTTTAAGCGTTTTATTCCTATTTGTCCCATCTGTTCACATCCTGTAATCTTGGTGGTTGAAATGAAAACAGTTGAAGTTACACTGTATGAGATCAAAGGAAACTTCTTTACAGTTAAGAGTTCAAAGAGTGAACTATTGTTATGGGTTTTATCTAAAGTGGAAAAGTAGTCTAGCTGCACATATGCCCACAAAAACACCCCAGTGCTTTTATAGTCCTGCCTTTCACCCCAAATACAGCAGGGGAATTCATCATCACCATAGTCTTTAAGGTTTTGTCAAAATAAAAATAAAAACATCTCTCTGGGTGGTTTTTAATCAGAAGTGTTTTTCATTCCACATTCTGCATACACATCACTTTTCTTATTCCCTTTTCTTCTCTCTGGCTCTGATATGACATTTCCTTTCACACTGCATCAAAGAAAGACAACCAGAGAACTAAAAAAATATGCCATCATCTGTCAAAGCATTGCCAAGTTCTCCCAGAGTCCTGCCAGTCAACAGCAGAGCATTGAAGTGCAGAAGCTTGTGATCTTTATTCAGTATATATAGTAGAAACATCCTTATCCTTGTTTATAGGGAAAAATCTAATGTGTAAATAGTTTCCCCTGTTTTGTAACGCCTATGCTTATTTTACCTCAGTTAATGATACAGAAAGCATCATTGTAGTTGTCTTTAAAAGGCCCCTAAATGATTTTTAAAGCAGTTTTTTTTTTTTAATTAATCTGCATCTACATACATAGTCCACCGTAAGAATAAGAAGAAAGAATGCCATCCTGTGGAAAAACATACTGTTCCCTTACTACTTCCATAGGAAATAAAGTAGAAGCCAGGTGCTGTTAATCAGATGAGTTAATGATCAGGAAGTGCGACCACCTCAGTAAAAGCCCAAGAGCCACTACTAAAAGTGACGTGGCAGCATGACGTCTGGCACAATGCTCTCTATAAAGATGGGACCAAAGTGGAGAAGTTTGGCTATAATGCAGAGCGCCATGTTTGGTGAAAACTAAAGAAAGCATATCAGCATGGTGGTGGAGGCGTAATGATTTGGGCTCGCTTTGCAGCCACTGGACCTAAGGAGCTTACAGTCAATGAGTCGACCAGTATTCTAGAGTCAAACAAGAAGCCATCTTTGTCAGATGACATACAAGCCATGCAACAATGATCCCAAGCATACCAGCACCAGAATGGCTGAAAAAGAAAAGAAGCAAGGTGTTGCAATGGCCCAGTCAAAGATTGAAAGATTGAAAGGCTGCAGTGGCACCTTAAGAGAACTGTCCTTAAATAAAAGCCTGCAGACCTTAAAGAGCGGAAGCAGTATTAATATATCAGTCCCTAACAATGAAGTGAGAGACTGATAAAGTTGCACAGAAAACTGTTATTTCAACTTATTGGTGCTAAAAGCGGTTCTGCAACTAAATGTGATAATTAAGCCGGTTAAGGATTTGTTATAAAAATTTAAAACGGTCCCCTACTGTGAACCACCAGATGGTGGTAGAATAAATTACCTAAAATAATATGCCTTGAAATCTGCAATCAATTTCCCAACACACATCTTTATTAAGTAAATAAACATACAGCAAAAAATATAGAACCATGCATCAGACAGACAAACGTGACATTTAAACAACAGGCCTGTTATTCCTGGAACAGGGCTGGAGGTAGGACAGGACAGAACCACTTCAGCCTCGTCATTCAAGGTCAAAACATTCTATAAATATAACAACAACTTAAACTAGATAAAAATATTCATATTGTAACAACTGTGTATGAAGTATCTCCTTTTCTACGTTGCGCCCACAACAAAAATACCATTTATATTCTCATTTCCTCTGCACAGTGGTTAAATGTAATTTCAAACCTTTTTCACTGCTAAGACCTAAACAGTCTACCAAATAAGAGTAAAAAAAAATGTCAGTGACCTGTATGGTGCAGTTTTAGCTTCACAAATATGACAATGTCAGAATATTTCAAACAGCCTTAAGCCGGTTCTCAGATGTGCGGGAGTGAGAGACGCATAGCTTTCGAAAATAAAATCTGTCAGTGATGATTTGAGGGCAAAGTTGAGCTTCCGTAAATTACCTTCTCTCTAGCGCTGTTCCTCTCGGCTCTGCAGAGCTACACAGAAAGTAAGAAATCCTGGCGTGCATAGATGTTGGAACATTGTCATTTTGTACTCTTCTATACTGGAATAGCAAATGGTAGTATGATTGTTGGGCAGCAGGACAATCTCTCTGCAGTTGTTCATTTAACATAAGGCAGTATTTTATAATAAGGTCTTTGACACTTTCTATGTCTGTATATACACAAGCTTTGTCCATTTCACAGTGTTTACTGACCATGCTGGTTGAAAACAACACACTGACTGTACATGTTTGTGTTTAGTCACTCTTTACTACCTTTTCAGTGCACTTACCCATCCACCTTTTCTTGTGCATACGTTTCAGAACTTCCACCAAGGCCTGGACAATTTTCCAATTAACTCTCCCCTTAAAGTAGTAGAACCAACAGTGTCGTTTTGCTTTTGTGTATATAGTACCAAAAGTGTTAAAAGTTGGCACATCAGTAGAAATTTTTCAGAATTTCATGTCAGCAAAATCCAGTGAAGATCAACATCGAAAAACGTGACTTAATCTGTCTCCTAAAACCTGTGTATGTATATATATTATCTGACAGGAAGAGCATACGCTGTAACAGTAGTGCATACATACAGTGACAATACAGCAGATATACAGTATGTACACAGTTGTTAGATGCTGTAAAGGAGACCTTTCTGTCCACTGGACAGGATTAAGGCAATTTCACAAGTGTCTTGGTTTTTACGGTAACCGCTGTGCAGTATGACTGCTGATGTCATCTTATTTTTGTACAAATATATGAAAAATTTCCAGTTGGGTAAAATGAATGACTTATACCTGCTGCTTTGTTTGAGTTATAGTACTGTGCAAAAGACATGAGCCACCCTTCTACTGACACCATTTCTGATTAGGCGTCAGTTTCCGGTGGATGGGTCAACGTAAAGCCCAGATGCATCTCCCAGGTCCCATGTAAGGTCTTTGGATTTTTTTTTTTGAACTTGGTTCAATTGCTGTCAATGGGAATCATCTTGTTGATGCCAAAATACTATTTTTTTTAATCTGTCAGACTGTGTTATCGTTAGCATTTTTCATAGACTTACCTGAAAAAATGGGAACAAATGATCTGTTTTTTGCAACAGGCCTCTAGTAACAGAGTGCCTGAAAATATAATTTAAAAGTGGTTCTGTGCTAAGTTGTCTGTTATGTGTCGACACAACACTGCTTCATCCCTTTTGTGAGATGCTTTTTTATTATCATTGAATGATTCGGTGAGGTAAAATAACTGGACTGAAAATGAATGAAAAAAGCAACTAAATGTCCAAAGAAAAACTTTGGAAGACCTTCAGAAAACCTAGAAAACTATTACTCAAAACAACATTTAAAAAAATAACAAGAAAGAGACAAAACATTAAAAAAAGGTGGCTGGAGACTTTTGCACAATACTGTATGTCTGTGTAATAGGTTTTACTGAATGGGTACCTGGTTATATTTGTGTATTTCCTCTCATAATAATTATATTATTTAAATATATATTTGTATATTTTATAGCTGACAAATGTAGGCAATTTAGGGTTCTTATTAAGAAGTGTGGGATTACTCTATTAGCTATATAAATCTTGCTATGAAATATCATATGGCCTTGAAATAAATATATATTATTTAAATCTCTTATTTAGCCAGTTGGAGAATATTTCCTTCTGGTAAGGGTTGCCTACAGATAATGTCTCTTTGAAAAACAGTTTAGCTGGAAATGTTTTTTCCACCTTATTCATATGCATTACACAACATGCATTTGTGTAAGTGAAAGTAAATTGTTTTAACAGTTTGCAGTCAGCGCAGCCTGCCTAAACCTAATGGATAACCTCTCGCAAACATGCAGAATTAAGTCACCTCATTAAACACACTTCATTTTCAGTACTTGTATATATAGAATTAATGATCTTTTGCTGGTTTTACTAACAGTACTTAAAAAAAGAGTGAATAGCACAGTATCTTTGTGTTGTAGAGAGAATGTGGTTTTATCCTGGTGCCTCTAAATATCGCCATCACTTAAACAAAAACATACTGACTAGCATGTCTCAGGTCGATAAATACACTGACGTACAATAGAGAAAAAGGTTGCAGACTGCGTGAAACGTGCCGTGGCTAAGATACATAAAACAACATCGGAACACCCCATCACACCAAGTATGTGTTTGCTGCAGGGAGAGATACAGAACAGTACAGAAAGTTAGGACTCGTTATCATCGTCATCATCATGCATAAAATAAAAATCGCTTTCTCCACTCAGTTCAGCAGCGTACCGTATAGCTGTGCCTTGGTCAAACTGTCCTTTCTCGTCAGTCCTGTACTGCCAAACTTTTGGTATCTTGCAGAAGTCTTCTTTGGGAGCGCGGGGCCGATGCTGAGAGCAGAGCTGGAGCTCGGGCGGGGCCGGACGCTCGGCCTGGGGGTGGGGTAGTGTTGAAGACTTGAGGCTTCAAGTGAGCTTTGGTGTAAGGAATCAGCCGAACTGTCTGCGCTCAGATTCACGTAGTCCTTCTTTGCGCTGCTTGCCGCTGTCGCTCCCCCGCTGCTCTCCTTGTCTTTAGAGCTCCCTGAGAGGAACAAACTGCTCTCAGAGTCCTGACTGTCATCCTTGGCTCTATACAGCACAGAAGTTTTCTCCTGCTTGCGATGCTCTTTTGGCTTGGGACTGCGGCTGGGAGAGGAGGAACTCATGGGAAAGCACTGCTCCAGCACCCGACTGTGGAAGACGTCGTCTCCTTCTTGGAAGCTGCTGTAGAGAGACCCTTTGACTTTACTGGAGGGGCCCATGGCAAAGTGGCGTTCAGAGAAACTGTATGGAGAAACCCGCCCTGTAATGTTGCGATAAGAAGATGAGAAGGTGTTGATGTCTTCCACGCTGAGCTGTCTCCAGCGGCTGCTCAGGTCATCCTCGGAGACCTGGACATCACCCTGGCTGTCCAGGGTTCCTCCATGAGCCTGGCCCAGTCCAATTGTAGACCCCATGCTGTGAGAGGAGGCCAGACGAGGAGTGCTGGAGTGGAATGGTTCACTGAAACATGACGCTGTCCTTGTGTAGGCTGGTGAGGGGCCCTTCTGGGGGCTCCTTTGGGTTGCCATGTGCTGGATGCTGTGGGACTTGGGGAAGCTTGGTCTGTCTTTATCATAGGAGGAAATACTTTTGTGCTCATAGTCTCCACTACTACCTTCTCGCCAGTCCATGTAGAGACCCTGGTGGGAAGAAGATAAGGTGCTGCTGCCAGTGCGCCCACATCCTCCACTAACTCCTCCCTTTTCATCTGATGCAAGACTAAAACTGGAGTAGGAACTGGACACTGGGAGACTCCCAGTGCCGAACTCATCGTGGTGACGGAAGGAGGATGGGGGTTCATGGTGGGAAAAACTTCCAGAGTGGAAAGCATCTTCATCGGGGTTGCTGTCAACAGAGTTCTGAGCGTGAAGCTGAAGCAGGCCAGTGCCATGAAGGTCGACACTTTGTCTGCGCTCGGTGTCCTGCCATCGTTCAGGACAGTAGAGCGCCGTGTCGCTGCAGTACAGGTCAGATGTCTTATAAGAGAGGCGCCGGTTCAGATGATCAGTGCTTCCTGTTCCTGTCAGAAAGTCTCCATCCTGTGCCTGCGGGCTGGGTGAACGCGTTACAGGGCAACTGCTTCCAGGCTCTGGCTTTTCCAGGACCTTGGCAATTATGGCTGTGGGCACAGCGTCTGGATAATTTGAGTGACACATTGCCATGGTGACGCCACTACTCTGATTATGTTTTTCCATGAGGGAACTGATGCGTTCCTGGAAATCCAGTGGCAGCTGAGGCATGGAAGAGAAATACAAAGAGAGACAAAAGAAGCTGGATAAAGACAGGAAACTACAACCCAAAACAGCAAAACAAATGTTTTTGAAAAGTTGTGACAGTTGCTGAGCTTGTATTCAGCAAAGCTCTTTAAAAATGAATAAGTTCTTCAAGAGCCTTTTTAACTGAATACTGAATGTATTTTTAAATGCCATTTCTTACTTTTCTGTAGGTCTAGGTGCAAAAATTCTCCTTTGATTTAGACCAGTATATGTGTCTCAGGGGGGAAATGTTTACATTCTCATTCATCCATACATGGTAGTATTGAGGGCAACTGGTCGTTTTTTAGGTGTCTGAAGACGTTTGCCTCTCATCCAAGAGGCTTCTTCAGTTCTATTACAACTAGTGGAGGATCCAAGGTATTTAACCACTAGCAGGGGCTGTACCCTTGGAAGTGGCCCTGAGGGTTGGTGACCAACTATTAGTCATAAAAGTCATCACATGAAATAAGGTGTGAAGAAAGGCTTATGAAGTAAAACCTGGTACTCTCCACCGGCCATTTGATAAATGAAACCTCTTAAATGAGAGGTGAATGTCTTCATGAACCTAAAGAAGTCGAGTTGGAGGTAGATGCCCTGTCTGACCTGAATTCCTCTCCTGATAACACAAAGAAACTGTGCTACCTTTAATAACTTTCTAAACAACCTTTATTTAGTTATGTGTTACAGAGTCCACAACTTAATTATACAGACATAAGTATTTCTTCTTTCCTTCCTGCTTTCTTCCATCTGTTTCTCAGCCTGTCATCTTTCTCTTTTTCTTGCTGTGTCTCTCTCTCTCACACACACTGACAGACACATAATCTCTTTGATTGGCTCCAGTTTGAGAAAAATGTTCCTGTCAATTACAGACTGGCTCTTTGTGCCTATTAAAGCTGGTCAGGGTCAGCAGGAACTGTTCCCGACACACTGAGCTCTCTTTCTACTCATCCCTTTCTTTATCCTTTCATCTTTCTCCTCTTGCACCACTGCCTTCTCAACCAAAAGACTCTCATTCCCCCCATCTCTCTTTTTTTTTCTTTTAGTGTGTCTTTTTATTTCTCTTTCTACCATCAAACAACATTGGTTCCACAGGGAAGGGCTTAGATTCAAATTAAACCAGTTCTCTGGGTCTCCAGCTGGGTATTGGAAAAAATAGATAAAATTCTGACTTAGCTTTGTTAAGAAATAGAAGCTCGCCTCGGCATAAAATAACCTGCATCTTTTAAGTCTGGGCTATTTTTAGCAGCTGTTGCCTCTCCCAGAGGGAATAGAGATGGAAAGTAGGTGAGGCTGTGGGGGGAGAGTGCAAGATAATATACAGTGTGTGCTCCAAGTAAGTCAGCTCAGCATTAGTTGCTATCTGAGGCAGATCTTAATTAACAGTCACATAGTTGTGCAGTGTTAAGCAACGTGACAGCGAACACATCTGCAGGTCTTCTTTTATTACAATAAGTGGATTAATAGCATATCGTGGAGCTGGTTACTTAAAAGACTAGAAATTCACCCCTTGTTCCTAAACTCCATATTTCCTGCTTCACAATGGAGATAAAACATTTCAAATTAAATGTTAGTTTTACTAGCAATAAGACACACTCCATAGCTTCTTTAGTTAATTTTGGTAAATCTGTTACATATCTAAACTGGGGGAAATAGTTAAACTTAGCACCAAAAAAAGTACATTTGTGTTTGGTCAATTATTTCTTTGTTGTAACAATGTTTCTTGGCAATAAATCTCACACTGTTGGAAATCCTGTTTATTTTTCCTTAAATGGTGCCGAGAAAAATGTGAGAAAAATGCAGACTTAAGTATACGGGCTTGTCTGGCCAACAGCTTATTCTACTATTGACTCTTTTTTTGAGCTTCTGGTACCCCAGGCGCTGACAATCAGATGCCTGATTAGTGTCACCTGTGAACTACAACGGTCAGCTGTTTTCAGATTAGGAGTGAGTCCTAGTACCACCACCAAATTGAAGGTCAGGGTCCATATAACAGGGAGTGTCAGAGACCAGCTGCAAAGTGGGCGTCCCACAGCAGTGTGTGACGACGCTGGTAATGAGTATGAGAAGGTTTTCCAAGCTGTTGTGTATGTGTATGTGTGTGGTTCTTCCACAAGCTACTGAGGCCCCTATTTATTAAATTAATAAATTGTTAAATTGTCAGACCTCCAATCCAATAAGTGACGCCAAACAAAAGTCAGAAGCAGACTGACACTTTGTTAATGATTTGAAGCAGTCAGGATTTTCACTATCTTAAGTACACGCCTGTAAGGTCCGCCTGCTCAGGAAACACATGCACAGACCTTTCCTAAGTTTGTCAGTGTACATTTAAATTATTTTAAATGTGTTCTTTAGTGGATATTCTGTCTTTCTCTATTAGAATGAAAAAAATAATAAAATAAAACAATTTGATTATTTATTTTGTTTATATTTAGCAGCGGAGCAGGTAATTGGACAGTAGTTCTTTAGTTTCATTGTGCAAACTAAGCCCTTAGGTCTCTTATTTCTAGAAGAATCTCTTGGCTGACAAAATCCCCCAAAGCAGAATTTTTACTGTTTCCAGTCAGCTTAGATCAAAACATGTCTAAATGTTACTCTAAATATGCACAGCAGCTATAGTGCTTCAAAACTGAGGCCAATACTACATGCTCCAGTCACAAACATATTCCCCAGCTGATGCCATTTAGAAGAGTGCAAATGAAAGAGAAGGCAATGTTTGTGGATTGAAGTGTAGTACTAATTACCCTCACTAATGCAGTACAGTATTGCCTGTGTTAATGCATGCAATACTAATGTACTTCTGTGAAAGATTCCTAGATGATTCATGTTTTCTATAGAAAAACATACTTGGCATGCATATTTAAGTTTAACAGCCATATCTGAATCAGTTTCTGGCAGCTATATGCAATTAGTGTTATTGCATTGTGGCTACAGTGCTGCTGTTCAGCAAAGATTAGATGAGCTCCCTATTAGCCAGTGGACTCAATTTCCTGCCCTAAAGTCCTAAATGTGTTTGTTTAAAGAAAAGCATAAAACATCCCCTTTTCAGAGTTTTAACAAGCTGAATTCATTATTGCTCTATTTCATTTATATCAATGGGTTTTTAGTGATGCAAGTAGTCTGTAGGTAGTGCTTCACTTAATTATGAGCCCAGGTCTACAGATTTTTTCCCCTTTCTTTTGTGCCTCAGGTGTCATCACAAGCCAGCCTTTCATTCATTTATTATGCACAGCTAAGATGCACACAGATGGTACTTCAGACAGCAGACCTTCATCAGTCTGAGAGGAGAGGCCATGAGCGCTGTGGCTCCTTCTTATTGTGAAAACCACTCAAGAAGGCTTTTAATGCTACACCAACACAATATCATAAACTTTGCTTCATTAGAAGAAAAATACATTTAATTTCCTCTTTATTAGTACAAGTAAATGAAACCATCTCAAGCTTACTCGTGGCTGATGTAGTTTTGTCCGTTAGCCTCAGAGCTGTATGTTGGATTTAAGCTGATGAGTTAAGGTTTCACACAATGCTTGGAAACGTTTTAATGCTTTAAACTAACATTATGTATTATTAGATGTTGGCAATAATATTTGTGAAAGAAAGGAGCTAATGCTGTTTGAAAGTAAATTTTGGTGGAGAAATCCCGACATGGCAGGAGTTACCAAAGTGTGTCCATAGTGTTAAGTAGAATACACTAAAGCAGCATCAGCAGTACGTTTCAAATGCTCGACTAGTGTGTCCTTGTATACTGAATTCAGATGTAGCACTTTCTAAAAGACTTTATTCAAGCAAAGCATTTTGTACAACATGCTGCTTGAATGAAAAATGAAAACTTAAACCGCATTAAATAATAAATAGTAAAGACCCAACTATGTTATTTTATTAATACACTTTATAAAGTTCTCAGATGTAAACACAGTGCAATTTCCTGCCGCTCGTCTAGACTAACCTTGTTTGGAGTGTAATTTAAATAAACAAAACATCTTTGCTTAAATGGTCGGCGTTGAATTTTAAAGCTGAACTTTTTTTTTTTTTACTGCAGCACAAACCTAAACCTGCACTGATGTAGCTGCAGCAGGCAGTGCTGGTGAGCTCACCTCAGACATCTTATGTGCTCTGTAGTGAGACTTGGAGCACTGCAGCAGCTGGGCTGCCAGATTGCAGTCTTTCCTGTACAGGTCCTGAAAAAAAAGCAAAAAGATTATACCCATTCACTTAAAAAACACGCGCACACACACACACACACACACACACACACACACACACACACACACACACACACACACACAGGGTTTTCTTTGGCATCTTGATAACTAAAGCATGCTGTGAGTGAGGAGTGTTATGAGTTTAAACCATCCCTGAGTAAAACCTTTAATACGTTAGATTACAGCCTTCTAATTGTGCTTTATAATTATGGGAGATGTCTGAGGGGGGAATCAGGAGAGTGTGCAACAATACAGCTGAACATAAAAATATATGTAACCAAAAAGCATATATATGCATCTTGGTTACATAATTTCACTGGGTAGTTCGCAGAATCTTTACAATACCAGCAAACTTTTCTTTAGACATATCTGCCCTGTGCAGACTGTGCTAATTTTATTAGAGTTGTCTGAAACAGCACATTAACTTATCTGCACCTTCCAGCCAAGGAAGCAAGTACAGCATTATTCATCTCTTTACCCATGCTTTCTTTCTGAAAAGAATGGTTATTAAATTTTTGCTCAAATTTCAGAGCACCGTGAGGGTGGTCTACTGGCACAACAGATGCCTGGTTTCATTGTTTTCTTCGTTTACTGTGCGTGCATGTGTTAGTGTGGGCGGTTAACTGGTTTTAGAAGGTTTTCTTTTCGTCTCCCTCCTCTGTTAAACCTGTCCACTTATAAAGGTCAGTTCATGCTGCACTGTAGCTTTCCTGTTTCTCTTTAATAGCACAACCCTGACATTTTCCCCCCATAACATCAAAGCCCTCTCTTTGACAGTCTCAACTCCCCCACCAGTTAACAGTGGCTGCTTTTTCAATCTTTTTTTCCCCTGTTTTGGTGAAAAGAGACATTTGAAGTCCCTGTAGTTTTTCGGGACAGTTCAAATAGACCTTTGAGACCTTTGGTGATGTCTTAGTTAATATGAACTGTGTGGTGTGTCTCTCCTGGGAGTGCCAGCTGACAGCTTTGTTGCTCCAGCTGGTTGTGAGGCAGACTTTGTGATGTCTTATGATCAGTTCTTTATGTACACTATATTAATAATCTCTGAATGTGTGAATTGAGTAGATTCTTTCCTTCAAGTTGTTGTGAAATTAGAGCCATTTACTTTCACAGTCATTATCTTTGTAGGTAATTTATTACATTTGAACAGTCTTTGGGGATCATCAACATCTTGATGCCCTCTTTTGCCTGTCAATATGTAGGATATGTAACAACTTCTACAGTACTGTGCAAAAGTCTTGAGCCCCGCCTTATTTCTTTATGCTTTGCTTCTTAATAGACACACCTTTTTGTAATGTTTAAAGTGGTCCTGAGGTGTACTTCTCCAGGTTTCCTGAAGGTCTTTCAATTTTAGAAGAATATTTTTTGTTTTTTTAAGTCACTTGACACTGACCTATGAAGCATTCAAGCATAAAATACCCTAAGACAAGCCTAAGGCCTCAGTTCCTAATTTATAATTCAAGGGACAAACCAGCATTGTTTGCACATAACAGACAACTTAGTGTATTTGGACACTTTACTAGCAGCCTATTGCAAAAATACATAATTTGTTTCTATTTCTGTAGTTGGCTCTTTCAAAAATGCCAAGAGATAACACAGCTTGACACATAAATGATATTTTTACACCAACCACCAACCAAAAACCCTATCCACAGCAGATGAACAGGATCATGTCCTTAAATACCATGTATTTACCATGCTCGTGTATGTACCATGTACTATGTTAAAGCCTGTTAGAATTGTGAAAACTCAAGTTTTTGCCTTATACTATATTTCCATGTATGTTTGTACAGTTTTTAATAAACTGCTGGACCTGTTTTCCATTTTCCTTGCAAAATATCAAGACATGACAATTGCAAACTGCTGTAGATTAAACGGCTTCATCAGTTAAGTGTAAAGCAAACACACAATTCATTTGTAGTGTGTTTTGTGGCAGTGGGTCTCAGGCATGACACAACTGTGAGGTTTTATTTTATTTCTTTGTGTTTTGAGCAGAAAATTTGACGGTTGATCTCCAGAGGAAATGTCTGCCTCACGGCTGGCACTGCTGGGACAAATTCTGAAACCTACTCAAAATGAACCTCGTCTCTAATCACCTCCGCTGGATGTTGGAGGGGAGGATTGTAAGAGGGCTCTATAGCTCAGAAGTGCTAAAAATTTGCCATACAGCGGTAAGAGAAAATCTAACTCATCCTAGAGCCCCTCCACAAGAAAAAAACAGTAAAATCACTTCAAAGAAAAGCGAGGCACCAAATTTCCACATGCCGTTGAGCTCAGGTCTATGCAGCTGTGGATTCAACCTCTGCCAGCCCCGAGGATGCCCATTGATTTCAGTTCTATCACTATAAAACATCCAGTGGCTTAGAGTTAATTCCTCTATCTGCTGTGACACCTTGAAGCACAAATATTGAGGATGTTGCAGAAATACAGTGAGTGTGACTTCCAGTTTGACATGAGGAAGTGCTCTCCTCAGAAAGAGTTGATTTTTATCTTCCAAAACCGACTGTTGTTTTGGTGCTAACAAGGCACCAAGTAAGTAAGGAATGAAGGCAGCTGCCCCAGGGCATCAAGTCTCTGTGCCCTGGATTTCCTGGGCTACTGTGCCTGCAGGCAAAATATAATCTGGGCAAGCAATCATACCAAAAAGTTCAGAAACTGTCCAAATAACCTAGCTTCAGGTATATTCCCAGTGCTGACAAGAGGTGTTATGGGGAACTTACATTATATAGATGGAGTAGCTTTAAGTACTCACATTGTCCTCTCTGAGTTTATTAATGGTGATCTTCGCCTCCATGAGATGATTGTTGAGAACAATGATTTCCCGGCTGAGGGCTCTCTTTTCCTCCTCGTGGTGCTGTGACTAGAGTGTAAGAGAAAGAATGGACAAGTTAAAAGAGAAACTGGAGAAAAACAGAAGGAAAAAACCCCAAGGATGACAGAGTGGATGATAAGATGAGGGGCAGGAAGTGAGGGTTAGAGAAACGAGATAACGAAAGAGATGAGAGAACCAAAGTTGGAGGAGCAACAGAGGTAAAACAAGATTATAAAGGAGCACAAGAAAAATGAAAGGGGGAAAGTCATAAGTCACTATCAGCGTGAAGCTGGCGCTAGCACCAGGACTTAATTAAAAGAAGATTACACTTGCCAGAGCTCATATCATATCAATTACTCTGGGAGTAAGAGAAAGAAGCATGGAGGGGAAGCGAGCGAAAGATGAGAAAAATAAAGTGGGTGCAAGAAAGACAAATGAAACACTCCATTTCCAGTGATTACTGTCAAAGAAGTGCAAAATGACCCTGCTGTAGTGACATTTGAACCACACTAACAGCCGAGTTTAATGATGGCTTCTATGTCTCTCTCTCTCTCTCTCTTTGTGTCTGTCCAGTCAGCTCAGCAGCTGTTGGCCACTTAATCCACCAGCTTGCCACAGATATCACCCCTAATGATTTTGGTGGCCTGATCGCTCATCTAATACAATCGAAATTCCTTTACTTGCACGTCTAAAATGTAAAAATAGGAAATAATTCATTCTTGCTAAATTGGCGTGTGACAATCATTATTCTCAGCCAACAGGCCAGTCGTAACAACGCCATGATCTTTTATAAAGATTATGACCTGTGTGAGGGTATCGTGGGATCAGGTTCTTTAGCTCCACAAACTAAATGCATCTCATAACAATGATTCTGGCATGCAGTTAACACTTCAGCCTCCAGGGGGCATTATAGGGTTCTTTTGGCTTAGAAATTATGTTTTGTTTTTCTTATTCACATGTGTCACACTGGCATACACACATACACAAAGTTGTAACTGTGAAACCTGTCACACAGCACCAGCTGTCAAATGATACACTCACTTGGCCTCCCACCCTTTTTTCCCTCCCTCCTTCTAATCTCCCAATGGTGGTGATTGTTTTGAAATACAGAGGTGCAGCGCCAATCTAATAGGTGGCAATTAATGTCAGTTTAAGCAATAGAGCAGCATTGATATTCAAATCCAATTCTGTTACGGTCTCATTAATCAGCTGTCGAGACAAGCGCCTCCCCGCTGTTCTTTCTCCAGCTCATTACTCCTGCCTCCAGCTCGTTCTCACTATGTGGATGACCACATTAGGTACATTTTTAAGCTCAGATATTTAATTTGTCGCTTTCCTTTCTTTGTTAAAGTGATGTTGTGTTGGCTCAGAGACAATCTCCAGCTCAGATGTTAATATGACTGGTGTTGTGGTTTTACACATGGCTGCTTTTTATTTTTCCTTTTAAGAGTTACCGTACTCTGGACTTTAAAAACTGCACAATCGGCCTCATTTTGCAATACGTGACTTTTTAATGCGACTTTTTTTTTTTGCTGTTTTCCAGCTGTGCAACAAGCTGCAAGCAACTTTAGTAATCAGCTGGAGTTGTGTGTGTGTGCACCCCCAGTGAAAGCTCTGGCATTTACTAAGTTTGGTTTAGACTCCACCAGCTACTAGTGCCTGACTCCATCTGTGCTCCCTGTAATGTTGCACTTTGGGCATGTAGAATAGAAGGTGTTTATCAAAAGGCCTTTTCATTGAATTCAGCTGCCTAATGCATTTGTAAATTATGACGACTAGAGCGGCAAAGTAGAGATAAAAGGCAGCAGCCACACTGTGGGAAGCTTTATAGTTAAGTGATAATTCTGTGTGTGCGTGTTTATCACTTGTACATCAGTAATTTGATTCAGTGTTAGTACAGAAATATTGATTAGTGCATCTTTCAAACCCGTCTAATCGATTGACCGGAGGCTCGAGTGTATCTGCACTGTGATAAATGTTGTAATAAAGAGTAGAAAAAATGAATCAGCGCAGCTTTAATGTTAGTTAGAATTCAAGCCTGTTTCATTTACTACATATAACCCAATAGAACAGGAACACAGTCGCTATCATCGGCATTAAAAGGCATCTTTAATTTGCGATTCTTCTTAATGATCTTTGGGTCTTCTATTGCATTTTTGCTGAAAATTATAGGAAAACAGGGCACAGAGTCTGCTTAGAGACAAAAGAGACAGAGGGCATTCTTAACTGTATAGTCATCATTGATCTTGTGCTGTATTTTAGAGAGAAGAGGAAAATGGGTTTTTATTTTCAGAGTTCTAGCCAGCAGAATTTCAGCTGTGCACACTGATTTTTGCTATCTCCAGCAGTCACTTTGTGTTGGATACACATGGCGTTCTTATCTATTGGTACCACACAAACAAGGAAACTGCATCAAGGAGAATTAATATGCATATTCTGACAACCTTATCTTATTGATTGACCCAGAGGAGTAGGGAAGATATTGTTTCCCACCCTAATGCATTGCACAGAATTAAAGCATCTCTTTTTGTCTTTCAAGTTTCTTCCAATCATTCACAGGAATGGTTGACCATTAGTGGTCAAGTTTAAGGGTTTGTTCAGACGTCATCTTAAATGACTCCTTTAACAAAGTTATCTCCTCTCCCAGTTGGATACGTAATGGAACAAATCAAAAACTAAACTCACGGGGCACGCTTCAATTATTGATCAGGTGAATTGAGTGCACAGTGTATAAAATGAGGAAAAAGTGTTTTTCTAAGACACCCCGGTTTGTTTTATGTATTCTGCTGGAGATTCTGTCTCTTCGCTGGGCAACAAATGAAGCCTGAGTCCCATGAGATGCAATTACTGAGGACTTCGGTTCACAGAGGAGAGCAGAAAACTCTGCTCCATTTTAAATACATCCTTATTTTAAGAGGGAAAAGGAAAGAAACAAAGTAGATTTCTAACCTCATTAAAGAGGATTTTGAAATCAAGACACCAAAGATAACCACCACGCTGCTAAAAGCAGATTCTGTATGTAGCGAACACTTATAGGTAGAAGGAGATCTAAGAAGTTGTTCAATGGATACAATTAAAGCAGAAGTAAATCTCTGGGTGATCCAAATTGATTATGTTAAGATGAACTTGCCATGTGAAACAAACAATATTTATAGGAGGAAATAAGCCTCAGTTTCAGTCAGCATTTCAAAGACAAGGAGTTATTTTTAAATTGTTTCCTGTAGAACTGAAAAACCACCTAGCTTGGCGTATGTGGGTAATCCATCATGATACAAATTTACTTGACTATATTTTGGAAGTGTTCCAGGTGATGTGGAGGGGGATTTGTGGGCTACACTGCTGGGAAATCAAACCTTACCTATTATAAGAAAATACAGTGTACATAGAAAAACTAAAAATCCCTCCATGCAATTTCTTCCACTTATCCAATTCAGGGTTACGTTGGGCCGGAGCCCAGAGATCATGCTCACATTCGTACCTACAGCCAATTTAGAATCACCAATTAATTAATGTGCATTGTGCATGTCTTTGGACTGTGGGAGAAAACTGGAATACCCGGAGAAAACATACAAAACTCCATACAGAAGGCTCCAGCCAACCGGTGGAGTCTAACCCAGCGGATTCTTGCGCTGAAGAAACCACTGTGCCACCCAATATGTAATAAAAATGTGCTGAAAATACTTCAAAAATTCAGGACCTGTATCCTGAAACTGTGTCTGCTGAAAAATAGATGTGTTTTAGAACACAGGAGCTTTATTGCTAAGATGAATGAGTCTTATTCTTATCAGTTTATTTTACTGTCCATTCTGTGCTTCTCTCTTCCAGAATCAGTAGTAAATGGTGAAATGCATCAAAACTGTCTGGTTTCACTTTGATGCTGCTCTCCTACATGTAATTTTCACATTTTATTCAAGAGTTATGATTAATGGCTGTGGTGTTAATGGCACTAATTAGTGCACTGCAGACAGAGCATGGCTCTGCTCCCTGAAGGGCACAGAGTAACCCATACAGGCAGGTATAACACTCAGAATCGACAGGCTTTCTCAACCACCAGGACTATTATTCATCTGCTTCCTTTTACATGGTGAAATGTAATAATAATAATAATAATAATAATAGAAAGAAATCTCTCTAAATCAGGCATCTGTATGCACTGATCTTAAAAGAGATCACACTACACACCTTTTTGAAAAGCGTGACTCAATTTACACCATGAAGCACAGAAAATAACCAACCTTAAAAACTCTGTGATGGTTAGCTGACTGACTATCAACTACGTGACACCTCACAGTCATGTCTCCTCCAGCAGATTTCTGCTAACATCTTTGTCATGATGTTGATTAGTTATGGCATGTAGCACAAAGTTTTATTGTAGGGAAAAAAACTGCAAGGAGAGTAATTTAAAAGTCAGTACTGATAAAGTAGAATGTGGAGGTCCCAAAAGAGCGAGAAACCGTTTGTCAGCAAATAAGTTGGGGTGCAGATTGTGAAGTGCTATACAGAGTCACATAAACTGGGCTGGACTGAGTGATAAACTGAGAGCTCAAAAGGTGGAGTGGTGAGATAAATACTGAAGTATAAGTATTAAACTAGTGGCATCAAAATATATTGTTTTAAGTACCAAAAGTAGAAGAACCCATAAGCATTACCACCTATTTTGTTTTAATGTTATACCGTAATTGTCTTAATAGCTGGTCATTTTCAACTCAAGACTGATAAAATTGTGGTCCCCACTGGTTCCTTTATTAAGTACACCTTGGACCCTGTTTGCCTTCAGATTAGCTTTTTCTTCTTCATGGCATAGAGTCAACAAGGTGATGGAAACATTCATCAGAGATATTGGTCCACGGTGACACGACAGCATCATAACCTGTGATGTGAACCTCTCGTTCCACCGCATCCCGTTCAGATGACAGATGACTGTGAACTCATTGTCATGTTCAAGAAACCAGTCTGAGATTATTCAAGCCTTGTGACATGGCATGCTATCTTCTTGGAAGCAGCCATCAGATGAAAGGTACACTGTGGTCATAAAGTGGATTTTGCAA